TTCCGCAATAGTTATGCTTTTCCTCCCCACATTTGTCTTGCCTCTGATCATTTTTGCTGCAGCTATTATTTCCTATTGCGAAAGATCAAGTCAGCCATAGCTTCCATTTGTATGGTTTGCCAGAGCTCTGTGGAGCGCTCAGCCGAGGAACCGGCTGCTGGTGCAGCTGCAACTGGCACCGCTGATTTTGTCACAGCGGCGCCGGATTCCATATATCCATCTTAAGAAATTAAATGGGTGGGCAAGCACTGAGAAACACTTCTAGAAACTGTGATGGCTTTTCTTGAACAGCAGAGACTACAAGGCAGTTCAGAAGAGGTTAACCAAAAGAAAGAAGAATGGCTGTTTTATCTCTCTGTGGGTTGGTTGTTGTTGTTGGTTTGGGGGTTTGGTGTGTTGTGAGTTTGGGTTTTTTTTCATTTAGATTATCTGTTTCAGTATGCGATTTGGCAATTGTACATACAGGGAAATTCTCTTGTCATTAAGAAACCAAAGGTGGCCTGGTGACTGGCTGGGCCAGTGAGCATTGCACAAAGTATTGAGTCAAAATGAACGCGTTGTGGAAGTCCACATAACTGAGCTTGATTCTTCATGAGAGACCTGAAGTACCAGTAGGAAGAGTTAGTAAGCAGTGTTCTTTGATGCACATGGTATATATGCATATACAATATAATATATGATATATATGCATATATAAAATGTGTTATAACGGCATGTGTGATATCACCTGGTGTGCACAGTATTTTCCTTACTGCTTACAAAGAGTATCCCTCCTATGGAAGAATAATAAAACAAAGCTCTCCCTGTGGATGTCTCTGAATGGAAGTCCAATGAGCTCCGCTGCCCTCGTTTTACACTTTCTCTATTTCAATCCCATGCCATATGCTCCAGGACAGTGCTGACATGGGGCATATATTTTGCTATGAAACTTAGCATATGTGTGGTGTTCTCTTGGCTTGATTGCCCAATACAAATAGCAGTGCAAGTAACCCGTGGCCACAGCAGGCTCAACTGGAGTCCCACTCAGGTTAGAGGAATAATGCTTTCAAAGTTTTATGAAGCCAATTTTTCAGCGTTTCTTGAACAGAGCTGCTGTAGTCTTGCCTTGTGTGGGGCCCTAGGAGCTGCTGCACTCTGGGGAGGGAGGAACACAGTGCAGTGGAGGGGAGAGAGTAATGAACTTTGAACATAGCACAGGTTCATCCTTTAAAG